CTTCTTCTGTCTCCTGGGAAACAAAGGCAGGCTCTTAAATGCCTCTTGGTCAGTTTTGTTCCGCATCAACAGGTGCAAACATGAAAGGATTTTGTGATCTGAGATAACACTCCCTTCAATGGAAAAGTAAATAAATCACAGGGACCTTGCCAACAATTGCTCAAAGATTGATTTCAGTTGCAAATAATCTTGCTTTATTGTGCAAGATAGGCAGGCGTTAATACATCCCCAAGTGCAATAAATTCTAAAAACAAAACAAACAAAAAAAAACCCTGCCCACCAAATCTTTCTACTTTACTTGGAACATCTTCACTACTTACCCAAATCAGAATACAGCCATTTCTTTAAGAATGTAAACCTGAATTATCTTTGGCAAAGAAAATCTGCTTTTGAAAACTAGCACTTGGATTCTTTTCAACTTTTCTATGATTTTGAGTTTTCTCCAGTGATTCAAAAATGAAACCTCCGAAAGAATTAAGTGATCTAATTTTTTTGTTTCTTAGATTGTACTCCATTGTACAGGGCTAAACATGATGTATGTAGCAACCCTCATCTATTTTTTGTAACAACTCTGAATGGTAATATAGCTCGATTTCTATCTTGTCACCTTGCACAAATTTTGGTGTGTGGCATGTGGACCTGCTTTTACATTACCAACAATGCTGCAAACAAAGAATAGCATTGTGACAGGACTACTGTTCTACCTCTATCTTTCCCACCTACTCTGACTCCATGTAATTTGAGTTGGTTGAAAAGTGATGTCTAATTTTTTCAGGAAGTTCCCTTGTTTGTGTACTTGAATTTTCTTTTTTTTTTCAATCCCCCCATTTTAATTAACACCCCTCCTCCTGTATTTTATAGGCTTAAATTTGCCAGCATGTGAAGAACTAGCCCATGTAGAGATACAAATAACCATCCTAGCTGAGGTGGGTTGGGCTGAGAATGGCCTAAGATTACCCAGCTGGCTTTCATGGCTAAGTGGGACTTAAACTCACAGTCTCCTGCCTTCTAGCCTGGTGCCTTAACCACTAAACGAACTGGCTCTTTGTCACCATCATGTCAGACCTCATTATCATGACTAGTCCCTGATAAAAATATAGAGCCAATTTGGTCTAGTGTTAAAGTGCTGGTCTAGAAACCAGGAGACTGAATTCTAGTCCTGGCTTAGGCCCGAAACTCCGTTGTTTATTTTATAATTTTAACTTTTTAAAGTGTATCTTCAATACATGACGTGCGGTGAAGTTTATGGCTGGTAAGGCAGTCTTCTCCCCCGGCACCCCACTGATTAAAGCGCTTTCTTTCGCCCGCAGCAGAGCTCAGGTGGGCGAAAGGAAGCGCTTTAGTCAGTGGGATGCCGGGGGAGGAGAGAATGCCTGAGCCTGCCTCCCCTGACTGCACATCACTGCCTCAATATACCTTCTCCATACCTTTTCTACACTAATTTGAAACAAACCAGAAATTCTAATTCTGTTAGGAATGTCAAAGTTAACATCTAAAGGACATTAGGAAATATATCAATTTTGGGAAATATAATCAATACAATTTTTTTAACCACATTTTCTGAGTTTTTAATTCAACTAAGATACATATAGAAGAGTTTCTGGTGTTTATTTTTTACTTATAGTGGGACCATATTTAATGTTATACTAGCTCCTTTGCTAATAATCATTGGTATAATTACCTTTCTCTGGAATAGCATCCTTTGAGAGAATGACTTGATGCATTATTTGGGTTTTAAACACCATTTTTAAAGGCTTTAGAATATAAGGTGAATTGAAATTTCTCCTGTGTACGAATATACCACTGTATGAATAGTTGATGTCTTGTAAGTAAATTACAGGAGAGTGAAAGTATGGCATAGAATAGGAAGCCCCAAATACTGTTCTCTACTGTCAACAAACTATTTAAGAATATGTTAGGAAAGGCCTACCAGTTGTGCTAAAAAAAATCAATTTAAATTAAAATTGATACTTATGGTATTAATTACAGTATGTTAGCAAGTTACATTTTTGCAGCTGTTAAAAATATGAGTGGTTGATTGATTTTGAGTAGTCATATTTGAGGGATCACCACTCCCTTACATTTACCAACCTAGAAGGTGTGGCAGGCAGGATTCCTTTGCTAAGGCAGCGGTTCTCAACCTGGTCCATGGACCTCCCCCCTGGGGGGGGGTCATAATTGTCATCACAGGAGGTCTGTGAAGGTTTGAATTAATGCCATGATTTAAACCTTGAGTCTAGGTGGTCCGTAGCCCAAAATATATTTTAAGAGGATGTGTGGTAAAGAAAAGGTTGAGTATCACTGTAGTAAAGCATTCCATCTTGCAGGACTCAGCAAATGAGTGTTCTCCATCTATGGATTATCACCCTGAGGTGAGATTGGCTCCAACTCGGATTTTCTGGAAATCCCTTAAAGTGTTTTTTCAGGTATCAGCTGGCATCTTCGCTTTCTTTGAAGCACGCTAGCAACAGCCATAACCTGGGATGAGGGGGCATTTGGGAGAGGAAGAGTGTTGGAGGTGTGAAAAGAATGCTATGGGAAATTGGGGAGTATGGACTCTGACAGGAACTAGAAGTGCTGAACTGAGGTATCTTTCTGTCTTCAAGGACACCAGTCCTGGGAAAGGTTCGCCAAACATCAGAACAAGACCTGATTGGACTATTCTCCTAGGGGGGGGTTGGACATGGGGGATTGTTTTGTTAATGTGATTTTCGCAGTTTTTCTTCAGTGCTTGCCTCGCTACGCTGCAATTAGCATCCCTAGTAAAAGTACCTTTTCTCTCTTCCATCCAACCTGTGCTTGAAGCTAATGTTTATCAACCTTCCATCCACCTACCTTCAACACATACCTTTTGAGGTGATGGAATTAGTAAAAGTATGTGGACTCTTGATAGCTTCAGTTAAAAAAACCTGCTCAAAGGATACTTCACATCTAATCACCAACAGCTAGGATTCATGAAGATTTTTATTGTGGAGGTTTAATTAAGGGAAAGGGATACTTGAGTGACACTTGGGACTTAAATTTTCCAGCTATTTCTATAAAAGAAAATTTGGATTTGGGCATTCTTATGCAACAAATTCACTTTGGAAATATAACCCCTTTAAAATTGAGGGGGTATGGGTAAAATGCATGGGTAAAATTGGTAATCAATCAAAATTATAGTTATTTTGTGAGACTATTCAGACTGGTTTCTCTAGGAACAAACACAAATAAGATGTCAAAGATTTTATAAGGTAGGCTCAGTTGCCTTAAAAAAATTACAAGTCTTCGTATTTATCAATACTAACTGTTGCATTCACATTTCTGGTAAATACAATTTCATTTCTACACATAATCTTAATTGGGTAGTCTGGATAAAGTCAGTTTAATTGAAGTGTATTTGTTGAACTTTTAAATTAATAAACGAAGAGGACTGTACTTGGACCATCAGGCTATGAAACTCTTTTCTAATTATAATTGCATGCTGAGTGTACCAGTACCCTTCGTGTATTTCCTTGCTAGTGGGATGCAGGCAAGTATTTACTGGTTTGCAATGTACGTAGTCTAGAGATTTTAGTTGCATTGAACTGAACAGCATGAGCACACTTCAATAAAATTAGACTTTGGTTCCATTTGTGATACCCTGGCCCAAAATGAGCTTACTATTAAGGAATGATGCATGTAAGCATGGGTAAATCAGATGGTAATATGCAATGCGATGAATAAATCTGCACTTCCCCAGATAGGACCAGTACATTATCTGGGGCTCCTCCTAGACAAGGTGGCAACTGTGGCTAGGAGGGCCTTTTCCTAGCTTTAGGTTGTACAGCAGTTGCCCCTGCTCCTGGAACAGAAAGCTGTGCTCACAGTCACTCATACCTTAGTCACCTTCAGATTGGACTATTGCAATGTGTTCTACATTTGGTGGGTCCCATGTGGCAAGCCTTCTTTGCCATTTGTATGAAATATCCCCTCCCCTCTGCAAACTTTAGATTAGCTCCATTCCCTCAAGAGTGAATATATTTAAAGAAAGGGCAACAGCAAGGCAGTGCTGGAATTGATGACAGCCTCAAAGAGACAGGATTGAGGTGCTTAAAATGTATTAATTCAGGTACATAGTGGAAGCAAGGATGGTTTGTAAAGATAGAAATGTGTGGAATGGTATTGAATACAGGTAAATTTTCATAACTAAATCTAGCTAAATTTTCTTTTCCTTCCTTACCTTGTACCTTCAACTTCTTTTACATCTGTTCTTTTGCTGTCTACATGACATCCCTGATGGATAATCCAGAAAAGGAATAGCTCGTGGATTTCTATATTTGTATGCTAATCATGAATTATCACAAAAGATTACTGTATTTTTAGCTCCGTAAGACGCACATTTTTCCCTCCCAAAAGTGGGTGGAAATGTCTATGCATCTTATGGAGCAAATATGGTGAACAGGCAGCAGTGGCGAATGGCAGCAGTGATCCCCGCCACCTGGAACAGCTGATCGGCAGTATTCTGGGAGGCCAATCCAACCACCGATCAGCTGCTCGGAGGTGAAGGCTCCAGTGGTCCCGGGTGGAGGCTGCAGACTCAGAGGAGGCAGGCTGTTGGCTACAAGGATGCTAGCCAGATGAATACCAGATGGACCAGTATTATGGTCAGGAGCTTCTTAAGGAACGAAAAATACAGTAATTAAAATCCACGGAAGACAATATAGTTTGATTCTAAGATGCAAACATTTTGATTGTTTCTTATGATATACTGTCTCTGGTATTTATTTTCAGTCTGGATTTAAAAAAAATATTAGGCAAGTGTCTAATAGCCTGATCTATTACTATTACTACTAGTAGTATTTTAACTATTTTATCTTTATCACGATCTACTTTAACTTTCCAATTAATTGCTGCTGCTGCTGCTACTATTTATGGCTTGGTGCTCTTAAAAGATTGTAAGCTGTTGTGTGCTGTTTAAAAAACAGAATGGAAACAGAAACCACATTTGTAATATCTAGTAAAAGACAACAAAGACAACAGATTTTTGAAAACGTATATTCAAAATATCTTTGTATAAACAGTAATACTACAGTGTAGTATCTTAATACAAATCAGTTCAATATTATTAACTGTTAAACTTTTATTATAAATTAAAATTTCTTTACAAAAATTGCACATAATAGAATTGATCACTCTTGAGGTTCTGATGCACTGGCATTTGTAATAGAAACTGTACTCCTCAGGTTTTAGTCTCTGCCACAAGTCCAAAATGCAGAAAGGGATTAAGCTACCCTTATAGCCTCCAAGTACAAAAATCATACTTGTGGCCATGGCAGGTACTTTGTTTAAGAACGGTTGTTTTTGTTTAAATCCTGCAATCAAAACAAATCTTGGAAACAAAAAAGGAGACTGGGAAACAAGGACAGGGAAATAAAAAGCAAAATAAAACAGACTGGTTGTTTTTCATGTAAACAGGGCCCTCGTTATTAACTCCAAACATAGCTCTCTCAGGCATCAGTGTGAGTGTCAAGTGAAATCAGTAAATAGCACAAAAGAAAATGAAAAGGAGGTTTTAAAAAAATTAATACATTTTATGTCTGTCATTGGGATGAGCTATACTTACGTACATGATGTTATGAGAGTCTGGCAGGGCCCAGAAGCAGGCCATAGAGGGCATCATTTATCCAAGGAGGCGCCATGTTAATTGTTTCCAGGTTCAAGGAAAGCAAGCCAAGAGACTTGAGCTGCTCAGCACGGCTCATCTGCTTTACACAAGCCTAAAGCCAGAGATCAGCCTGGAGAATCATTCAAAATGATTTTGGCATTTGAGAGGACTTAGTACTGACTGCACCCAGCGTTCAGTGATTCGTGCTTTCTGTTCTGTAAGTGTTTAAATTTAAAAGCTCATCTAGGCTGATTCCAACCTCTTGGCACTTGGAAACTAGTTTTCTCAGGTTATCAGTTTTACCTCCTTCTGATGCTTCAAATAGGAACTGCTGTAAGAGATGGGGAAGCAGACATGAGATTTAGCCAGAGCTTGAATATCACCACATCAATGGACATGGGATATGCAGAAAATTGAAATGAAACCTTAAACTGAAACATAAGGAGAAAACATTACATCTTTCCACAGGGTTGCACAAAGAGGTAACTTCTGAAAGGCTCTCTGATATAAGTGATGGACCTGTAAAGGAGAGACAAAAAACAATTTGATGTTATCACTCAGTAAAAAAAAATTCTCATTAATCTCTACATCAAACTATCTTAATCAGTTTATCATACTAACTCTCATATATATTAGTAACCTCATTAAGCACACACACGTTAAATCCCGCATATTTGAATTAATACAAAAAAATATTTTCGTTCTTAGAATGTAACTTCATATTGTCTTGTTTTAAAAATAAAAATTTGTGCATGAAATCCTTATAACTCTTTATCTGGGAATAAAGCTCACTATAGGTAGAATTATATTGTAAATGAGTTGTCCTAAGGTCAAAGGGAATTGCATTTAAATCAACCCAATTAGCATGAGAAAGGACTTTGGGATGGTACACAAAGGTACTAAAGTGGTACAAATATATTGTTACTGCATTTAAGGGAAGAGACTGAACCACATGCCTTTTTTTTTTGCTCTTTCAAATGAACATAATGGATTGTTTGCAACAAAAAATAAAAAAAATTCTGCTGGAATGTATTTCAGGTATTTTATATTCACATCTAGCCTATCTGCTCCAGCTTCCCTTTCTTCTTTCAAGCAAGTAAACCAGGAAGAGGATAGTTTCACCTGTTGTCTGAATTGTGGACTGAGGACAAGAACTATGTTATTAATTAAGTATAATTAATGTATTAATTAATGTAAGTAAAAGGTTATTAATAAAACATACTGTGTTTGGCCTAAGGGCCCTGACTATTAAGGTTGGACATCAGATCAAACTATTTCACTTCTTGATTTATTTACCTGTACTATAAAAGAACAGCAAATTAATTCATATTTTGTAAAACCAGAATTCATGGCTTGTTATTATGTAAAATTTATCCAATAGTATAATCTCTGAATACTGAAAAGCATTTACTAGGTTTTTTCCCCCTACAAAATATACCACCATTGCTTTTATTCCTAAAATACTCCTTCTTTTTCTTTATTAATAGGATTTAAATAATAGATGAGACAAATTAAGAACCTTGGAACAATTATTTCCAAATTATTTCAATTTAGTATATTTTCCTTACATACCTCTCTTTGTCCCTTTAAAAAGCATTCAGCAGCAATGGCTCTGAAGGGAAGAAATAAAAATGATTTATTTTTACTGAATACTGAATATCTTTAAGGGAAGAACACTGGATATGGAATGAAACTATAAAATCCTGGAAAGTAATAGTCTAATTCCCAATGATGATAATCTATAGTGAAGAGACAAAAAAGATCCATTTTATAAACAATCTTACATGAGCAAGACATTTCAGTTGTTCCCATTATGTACAAACACTGCAGACAATGATCAGTTCATCATCACTGGATAGTGCTATTATGATATATAAAGGGGAGGGTAGAAAGGAGGAGGAAACAGAAGTCAATAATTTGAATAGTACAACACTCCAAAGTAGCAACAAGGAAAGAAATCATTTTTCCTTACCTATATACACAAAATATACTTACTTCTGATTTTTTTTTTTTTTTGTATGGCAAAGCAAGGTCCTCGCTTTAATATCGTGAACATTTCTAAACCAAAGAGGGTGAATTGGACTATAATGGAAAACCTTCCTAGTAGAAACTACTTTGAAGACTATTTCCGTTTTATGAAGCAAACCTTTTTAAACAAAGAAAACTACAACAGTATCTATCTTAACAGGTGTATGACTGTTGAATTACATTTTCCAGATGGCCAGGCATGTTGGCATATTATATGTAAACATCTTGGCTTGCAGTTTCAAAATTTGAATATTGTTTTCTTCCCAATACTGCTGAAGCAACCTGTAATTACAAAGAAGCATATGAGAAAATGTAGTAATAGCTAAATCAACATGTTAATAAAACTTTTGTTAAATTTTTATATGATAAAAATATGGTGGATTATGCAAAATATCTTCAAAAGAAGGATAAAGTTTACTCCACAGTTATTTTTGCTAGGTATAAGTACCGACGTTACAGTGGTAGAGACTAACTTGATCCTGCACTTAATAACGACAGCAAGACTGTTGGTGGCGCAACACTGGAAGAAGGAAGACCTGCCTACAACTCAAGAATGGACATTGAAAGTT